GACGGCGCCGGGCACGGCCGGCTGTGTCGGGGCACGGGAGCAGGTGGCGGCGGCCTCGGGGCCGCGGTGCCTCTCGCCGCCGCCCGCCGGTGGGATCGGGCCTCTCCCGCCGCCTCCGGGCGCAGCGCTCCGCGGAGCGGCCGGCGCAGGACCTGTTACGCGGCAGGCGGCCCGCGGCTCCGCGGGCTCACGGCGCGGTCGGCGGGGCAGCGACACCTGCGGCACTGCCGCGGCCCGGGAGCCCCGTGCTGAGCTCCGCGCCCCTGCCTTACACCTCTCGCCCGTGCTGCAGGCATCCATCCTGGCAGCGCATGGACCACAGCTTGCAGGAGCAACTCATGCCCTTTTTTGCGTGTTTTCTAAAAAATTAATGTCGGGCACTTTTCTAGTGCAGCTCCATGCATTTCCTTGTATGTTCGTGGACACACTTTTGTATTTCTATATGCAGGTACACGTTTGCGTTACTTCAGTTAGCAGAGTAAGGATGTTTTGGTTGGAAGTGCCGTGGCTGTTGTGTTGTAGGAAGTTCTGTGGTGAAATGTTAGTCAGTCATGACATTGTGGTAGCTTGATGATTTATCCACTGGATTTTTCCCTATCAGATGGGTTGTATTTTAACTAGATTGTAACAAAGGTGAGCATTTGTTGAATTTGAGGAGATAAATAATGTTTACTTTTCTTATGCATGCTGCTTATGTGTTTGTCATCTCTTGATATGCTTAGTGATTGTTGGATAAAAAAATTTTAAACTTCATATTGGTGTATTTTAAAATCTTGAATGTTTGAATTTCTCCTTATTTGGAAAAGTTCCAGATGAGGAGAAATCTTGTTCTCTTTCTGGAAGTACCTGGAGTGGGATGTAATGCTTAATGAGAAGAATACAGATCTAATTTTGCCATCTTCAGTATTTGTTTCATAGTATGTATCTGCAACTGTGGGTCACTTGGATTTTAAACCAAAAAAGATTACTCTAGATCTATTTACTGAAGTAGACACTTGTACAATATTTGGATTCCCATGGCATAAAGCCCTCAATACAAATAAAAATGAGTTAATAATTTATACGCTACCTTTCAAATTAGGAGTCTCCAAATTGTTTGCCTCCTTTGCCTTGATAGTCTTTTTCTTATCATCATATGGTGATATCTGATGATAGTCTGCTCTGCTCTTCTCAAAATTTAATTTAAGGCCTTTCAAGCAAAATACGTTATTTTAAATCTGCTAAGAAACAAGAAGACAGCAAAATTATTTATTAGAAATGCCAAAGAAGTTAAATGTTTGTTTCTACTGCAGATTTAAAAAAAAAAATTCTGATTATGCTTTTTTATACTGAGAGGTGGTTTTGCATATTCTGTGGACTTGTTTTAGGAGAACTAATAGTGGCTTTGTGACCTTAAACATATTTTTCTGTGTTAGTGAATGTATGTTGATATTTGATGCATCCATAGAATGGCAGCAACTATCAATATATTGGCTTTTCTTGTCACTGCATGTTACTGTTGGTACGTGACAAATGTAGTCATGATTTACACTGATTGCTGAGTGCTTTATTGAGATTTGTCTCCAAAGGAGCCAATGCTCTCTAAGTAAGTGGTAGACTTAACTCACCGAGGGCTATGGGCAAGGTGGAAAGACTTGCAATGTTTCTATGCAGCATTTCAAGGAGCACACCAGGGGAGATGTTTGTACAGTGGCAGGTTATCACTGAGTGAATTCCAGCCTTTGCTGGCTGGTGTTCCAGACTTCTTGAGCATTATGTTGTGAAATGAATTGCCAGAACATCAGGTTCTGTCAGACAGAACTTAATACTGTTCCAGCTTTTCTGCCCTCATGGGAGCAGGATATTATGAGCTGGGTTGCAACACATATTCTGTGGCAAATGTTCTTTTGCTTTATGCATGCTTTAGCTTTTGTGCAGAGTGCAAGACCCATAGGTGCTCAGTTGATGATCTTTGAGCCTAAAAAAGATGTCCTGCCATGTGTCAGCTCATGTAAAAGGAGCAGGGCACACTCTTAGCTCTCTTAGCTTGGCCTAAAACTTTGTGTTAGGGTAAAACTCCTCCCTGAGTCTATGTTGAAGTCCTGTCACTATAAAGAATAGTAACTCTGAAGTACAAAACTTTGCCATTGCTTAGACTGCAAATCATGTAATGATAGTAAACAGAACAAAAAAAAATACCCTAACACCTGAACAACGTTTAAACACCACTAAAGACCACAAAAATAATTTAATTCTATTTGTACAATTTTACAGCTGGGTGATAAACACTGGGATTTTGTTTGACAAGGAGAGTTAGTGTCCCAGATTTAAAGGACATTGCCCTGAAGTTCTTTTCTGATAGCCTCACAATACAATTGGTAACTACAGCTGAGGACTAACCAGCAGGATTCCTTATGACAAAAATCATGTAAAGAGCACTTGCAAGTGTGGAAGTTTGACTTTATAGATTCTGGATCAAGTTTACAGACTCTTTAGAGGTGCCTCATGGACTTCAGTAATGTACAAGAGACTGTCTTTGAAGGGCCAAAGAATAAGCAAGTTTAAAGGCCCACATAGCAGAAATTTCCTAAATAATCTCTTAGCTCTAAGATTTTAATCCCTTCTGCTCTGTTTAACCTTTAAAGGAGAGATGTCCCATTTTCCATCTTGCTCATTATTTTATTTCAAAAGATACCTCAGCTCTGTTTCCTCACTTTGGTTACTCAGGATACAAAATAACTCAAGACACTGGCATAATCATAAGCATGCACTGTCTGCTTTTAAAGATGTGAACATGTCCTGTTCATGGCATCCAAAACAGTGTGGGCTAATGCTCTCAGACATCATGTCAGCCTACCTGAAACGCCTCCTGTGAGAGACAAATCAACCTGAACAGAGAACAAAACAGAATTTCTAACATGATTGGCCTACTTTTTTTCATCTGTCCTTTTCTATTGCAAGTATGTAACACAAATGGAGCAAGCAATTCTGATTTGGAGATTACTACACTATGGTTATGTGTAATACTTTCCAGAATTAAGCTCTCTACTATTAAACAAAGAAACACTTTCATACTCTTCAACCATAGAAGTGTTTTAAATAAAAAGTACACTTACCAAAAATCTGTCAAGTTATGTTGCATGTTGATTCACTACTCTCCATATGCTTTGGAGTGCATCCAGGCTTGAGTTTTGCCAGAAGTGGTTTTCCAGTTCTATTTCAGGGGATGAATGTCTAATTATTATTCAGTGCATATGACTTAGCAGAATATACAAGTGATGGAAGAAGTTGAATCTGTAACATCAAGCATTGCAAGTGCTTCCCTCATTCTTGAAGTCCTTGGCTCATATTTAAGTCTTCATGGAAGAGTAGAGTTGAAAAAAGGAACTGTTTGCTTGTTTTGAACACTTTCTTCCTTTTTTTGGTAATTTTGGAACTCTGTCATTCTGTTGCCCTAAAAATGTTCTTATGACAAGTTTCCTGGCAGTTTGTCAGAGTTTCAAATGGAGTCCATCTATATGTGTTGTTCCCTAATGCTGTCTGGGGCTTTTGCTCAGAAACGTGTTCCAGTGCCCTGCACAGCAGTGTAAGTCCTTGTGTTCAGGGTCCCTCAGCGTGTGACCAGAGCAGCTCAGTAAAGCCCTGTCCCCTCAGCAGGACAGCGTGTGGCTGTGCCAGCTGAAGTGAGCTACATGTGTCAATGCTCACACACCCGTTCTGGGGAGAAATGAGAATTTGGGAGGGCAGTGGATGGGAAGAAATCAAATAATGATCATGCCTTTTGCTGAACTTGATGAGGAAGTCCTTATTGAAAAAGTAATTCCCTTTGAACCAGAGAGTGGAGCCTTGGTTGTCTGTAAGCAGAGGGATACTCTTGTCCATGTCTGAACTGGCTGGGCAACTTCTGCAAGTCAAAAGCTGCATGACTCCATTGGCACAGTGCTGAGCTCAAAATAAATCTAGCTTCTCTGGAACTTCCTGCCAAATACATGATGTAGTCAGATGGCATTTGGGGAGGATTTTCAGTCTCAAGTACATTCTCTTTCAGCCTAAGGAGGAGGACAATATACACAGTATCCATACTGGGAGAATGGTCAATATTCTGCAGTGGTCCTGAGGCCTGCCGGCTGCTGCTGGTCTCTGGGTTGTACTAAATGGATACAATAATACAAAATTTAATTAACAGCACTTTGGTTTAAAGTGTATTGTAAAGATTCATGGAAGGATTCAGCAAGAAACACTGAGGAATAAAGAGGGTTTGTTGTCCCAGAAGCTTTGGTTCCCAAGCAGTTTTTACACATGAAACAGCTTTCCCTAAAATTGTCAGTTTTATTTCTGTTGATCTTCCCCAGATTTTACCAGCAGTTTTCTGTGCTTCATGTTCTGCTACATAACGGAGTTATTGGAAATACCTTAAAAAAAACCCCAAAAGTATAAAAACCTCTCTCTAAAAAAATCACTGGAATAAAAGTTAATTGTAGCTCTATCCTTTTTTAACCAGGTAGTTTTAAGTTTGTCAAGTGAGTGTGTGTGAAGGTGTGTAGGAGTAGGGATGCACAGCTGAGGCATGTGGCAGGACCACAGCTTTATGGATTGGAATCACCTTTGGGTCTTTTGAAACTGACTCTTTCTGGATTTTTTGTTTCCAAAAAAAAGGCTATAATGCATGCTGGTTGTTTGTTATATTTTAATAAATACTAATATATTACTCTAGTCTTTCTGGTTAAAAAAAAAAAAAAAAAGTTGCTTATTTGCATCTGCTGCAGTTCTGTGTACATATGTGATGGCAAAACTGATCATGATTACTATCTTTCTTGGAACATTTTCCAAATGGAAATAATTTCTCCATGATGTACAGTCAAGTTAGAACCTGTCAATTTGCAAAAGAGATGAGATCACAGGGAGGTGTGTTATGGAGGCCTACAAAATCATGTCAGATGGGGACAGAGATTGTTCATTCTTCTCTTCCAATACATGAACTAGGGGGTCTCAAACAAAGCTAATATAAATCAGACTTCAGCAAAATAAAGTCCAGTCCGTGACCATGGTAGTGGATAGTAGACCTGTGAATTAATTGCTGAAGTTTGTTGTGGATGCTAAAAGCTTATGTGGATTTTTAAGGGAATCTGGTAAATTAGTGAAAGATTTGAGATTTACTAAATATAGAGTATCACATCTGGCTTAATAAGTTCTTCTAGGGGAAACTGGGAGCACACTTGGTGTATTTGATAATATATCAAATGTTATCAGTCTTCAATAGCATATTTTTATAGCTATTGCTGAAGATTAGGATACTGATAGAAATGGATCTTATACTGACCAAACATAGCTGCTCTCCTGCACTTCCTTGTATCCTGCTGCTAAAGCTGATCCTGATCTTCTAGTTACTTTCTGATCCTGATGTGAATATGAAAATCCTCCTGTTAGCACACCAGACTCTGAGGAGGAGGAAAAAAAAAAAAAGAAGGAAAAGATCAAAAACCTCCTACTTTGTAAGACACTTAGCTCTCCCTCAGTTCTTAATTTCAAGGAAGGAGTCGGAGACTTCAGCATATGGAACCTGACCCTGATATCAATCCTGCTCATTGTATCTCTATATTGCATATTTACACATTAACACAGATTATTTTTTGACCAAATTCCCAGTTTGTTTGGTTTGATTTACCATGAGTGGAACATAGGTAACTGGTCTTAGAAAAAAATTCTCTTAATTGAGCACTGGGGGTTTATGATTTTGATCAAATTGGTTCCTGCAGTCTGGCTTGCCCCGTAAGGGTCTGATACCTTTTCTTCTATTTATTTGTGTCTCAATTTTCCTTCCACTTACATACATCAAACTGACCTCCCCTGTCAGTTTTCTCACTGAAGGAAGCAAATGTTCCATATAATGCAGTCTGCTTATTTTATCACTGTGGAAGTCAAATTCTTTAGAGATGAAATAGTAAATGCAATAGTAAATGTAGTGCTGCTCAGTGAATTACAAATGGTATTTTCTCTTTGTGTGCTCTAGGTCCGTCTGTCGTACGTGCGGATCAAGTATCTCTTCATCTCCTGGTTGGTCGTGTTTGTTGGCAGCTGGGTTATGTATGTTCAGTACTCCACCTACACAGAACTCTGCAGAGGCCATGACTGTAGGAAAATAATAGTGAGTGTATTTAGTACAGCTTTCTGAAGTGTTTGACTAATTCAGTCTGTGCCACATGTGATTTAATCAAATTCTCATACTCCATCATGTAAGATTACAACTTCTGTTACTTCAGATAAAACCTGTTGTATCTCTTAACGATATTTTGGCATAGGGTTATTAAATTTTTTTCTTAGGTTTTTCTTTCAAGACTCAGGTGTTGGAAGAGATACAGTTGTTGCCTCCTTTCCTAGGCAGTTTGTGAAATATATTTCTCCCTGTTTGTTTCAGTGTGATAAATACAAGACTGGTGTTATTGATGGATCAGCATGTAGTAGTCTTTGTGCTAAAGAAACATTGTATTTTGGAAAATGTTTGTCAACAAAGCCCAATAACCAGGTAAGGCTTTACTCATCCAACCTAGTTTTATTATTTCCCACTGAAATGTCACTGTCTGGAACGTCAGGTAGACCTTAGTGTCAGCAAGTTGAATCTGTTTAATACAGATTATTTCAAATTTTATTTGCTGTGACAGGCAGAGCGTGTGTGTGAGTGTATGTGTGTATGTGTGTGTATATATATATATATATATATACACCTCCCCATATATATACACACCTATACAAAGATACACTGTAATACAAATGAATATATATAATATGCACCTATATCCAATAATAGAAATTAGTCCTGTATGTAGAGGGGTGTATGGTTATTTTATACGACATGTACACATACAATATCTCCTTTCACAGTCTGCCAGACTTGCACACCGTGTACATCACACTGCTTTCTCTGCTATCCTGCATCACCAGTAGCAGCAGCAGCCTCGTAACAAGCTATGCAAGGGTGGCAGTGTACCCAGTCTGCTGTTTGGGAAGCTGTCTGTGTTTTGACAGTGCAGTGTCTCCAGAGTACCCACAGCAGTGGGCTGTCTTTGGAGCTGCCATTGTTCAAATTGCCATATTCATTGTTCTGCATGCAGGATTCAGTTTCTGATCTGTGGTGACTCTTAAAGCAGTGGCTGGAGGACAGGTGGTCTTCAGATGGACTTCTACAGGGTTTTATACCTTTTCTCCTCTTTTTCTTCAAAGATCTATTTAGGAATCTGGGGAAATCTGCAAAGTGTTATAAAATGCCAGATGGAAGAAGCTGCTCAACTTGATTTTGGTACTGACCCAGAACCAAGGAAGGAAATAGTCCTATTTGATAAACCAACAAGAGGAACCACTGTTGAGAAATTCAAAGAAATGGTATATGGTCTTTTTAAAGTAAGTATATTCTAATTTATTCTATTTTGACAGAACTGCTTGTTTTCTTGAAGCTGGAGAGAATATAGAATATACCCCATTGTATGAGCCTTGTTCAAGGATATGCTAGAAAAATAATCAGCACAAAAATAGTTTTTCCCAGAGATGCTTATCTTGAATTTGAAGTAACTAATTATCAGGGCTTTTTCCTTACTCTTTAAATGATGGAATTTAAATGGCATTCATCTTGTATGTCTATATTTTGCTAGTATTGGTATAGAAAACATGATGTAAGGCTGATGTCAGTTATCATGCATTACAGCAGCTTTGTCTCTAACAATGGTGAGCAGCAGGTGTGTTAGGGTAGTTTTTAGGAAAATTTGCAAAAAGTTGACCTGCCTAGCTGAAAATGGAACAGTTCTGATTCCAGCAATGACTTTTTTCTCTGTAGTCCTACAATGGAGGTGGTTGCATCAAATAACAAAACTAAGCATTTCAGTGTAATTATGGGATTTTTACTCTGTTTTGTCTTGGTACCTTTAATAACTGGACAAAATGTAATTCATAACATTATTCCTCTACATTTGTAAGGTCTAATCAGCTGAAAACTAAACCTGATCTAAATTTTTGAATTCTTCATACTTTTTCTTAGAGAACATTGACCAAGCTACATGATACAATTTTTCTAAAGACTGCTCCGATCAAGAACAATGATTGAATTTTAATATTTGCATTTTGAAGTGCAGAGAAAGGTAGTTCTTTCAAAAGACTGTATGCTCAGTGCCTATGAAAACAGAACAAAAAGGAAGCTCTGCAGGCAGCTGATGGCAGGTCCTGTTACATCCATAACCAATGAAAATCACAACATACCCAGTTATTCCTATTATTCATAGAAGCAGAGTAACAGGAAGCAGCATGACAGATGGATTGGGAGTAGTTAACAAAGTCAGACTTAATCTTTTTCATTTGTTGCTTTCAGGCAAAACTGGGTGAACAAGGGAATCTTTCAGAACTGGTTAATCTCATCCTGTCTTTTGCTGATGGAAACAAAGATGGAAGGGTCTCTTTGCCAGAGGCAAAATCTGCATGGGCACTCCTGCAGCTAGAAGAATTTCTGTTAATGGTGATCTTGCAGGATAAAGAACATACTCCCAAGCTGATGGGTTTTTGTGGGGATCTCTATGTGACAGAAAGAGTTGAATATACCTCTCTCTATGGAATCAGCCTTCCATGGATTATAGAACTTCTCATTCCCTCTGGCTTCAGAAGAAGCATGGACCAGTGGTTCACGCCATCATGGCCAAGAAAGGCAAAAATAGCTATAGGGCTTTTAGAATTTGTGGAAGATATTTTCCACGGACCTTATGGAAACTTTCTTATGTGTGATACAAGTGCCAAAAACTTGGGATATAACGAAAAATATGATTTGAAAATGATGGACATGAGAAAAATAGTGCCAGAAATTAATTTGAAGGAAATAATTAAAGATCGCCAGTGCGACTCAGATTTGGACTGCATTTATGGTACAGACTGTAGAACGTTATGTGACCAAAGCAAAATGAGATGTACCACTGAAGTAATTCAGCCAAACTTAGCAAAAGCCTGTCAGCTCCTCAAAGACTATCTGCTTCGTGGTGCTCCTTCTGATATCCATGAAGAACTAGAGAAACAGCTGTACTTGTGCATTGCCCTTAAAGTCACAGCAAATCAGATGGAAATGGAGCATTCTTTAATACTCAATAACTTAAAAACTTTACTGTGGAAGAAAATTTCTCATACAAATGATTCATAGCTTCTCCACCAGCAGAAGAGAATACTGATGCCTGCCACTAGAGGTGGCCTAAGACATTTAATAAAAATAATCTGCACCTTTTTAAAAAGATATTTCTTTACTCAGATTTTATTAATGGTTCTTTCAGTCCTGCCCTTCAGTCCATAACTGGGGACAGGGCTTCTCAAAGAATGAACATGCCACTGAATGACCCGGCAGAGGCCAGAAGTCCTTCTGGTGTTCAATGCTGTGTTACAGAAACAAGAACTCTGCATGCTTGACTGTTCTGTGCACTTTGTCAGATCTTGAACAGGATGAAAGTGTTCACTGTGCCACATCAGCTGAGGGTACATCCTCCATTTTTGTGAAAAACATTGCTCACTTGTGAAATACCTGCAGTGGATTTTTTTCCTAAGGAGTTTTATGAAGAATCACCACTACTGCAAGTAATGTGTCCAAGTCCAAGCTGCTGTTATGAATAAAGTGAACTGTGAGATTGAAGTTTACTAATACCTTAGCATGGCAGAATTTGCACATTAAATAATTTTCAACTGTGGGAAATGAGAATTTTATTCTAGAATGGCTAGATTGTAATATGAGACAAATCAGAATCTGTTTACACATTGTTACCTCATGCCTACGTCTTGGTTTAAGTAGTTCAGCATTTTTAATTAAGTCATTGTACAGTGAGCCCTGTGGGAGCCAACCATTTTAGAGTATTACTTCTTGAAGTCATCTATATGGTTTAGCAGCAATACCAGCATCTGTTTCAAAACTTCAGTGAAAACCTTTAACCCAAATTAAGCTGTAGCAAACAGTGAAAAGCAAGGACTTTGTGGACTAAGCTACAGTATGGAAACTGAATTTTTAAAAATACTGAATAGCAGATGTGTCCAACCAGTTAAAAAAAAAAAAGTTTGCATAGTGCAGGAATCTACTGTATGACATGAGAAACAACTAATAGTTGTGGATAGTCTTGTCTCTTAACTGTCCTTCCACATTTAGCTACAGACCTGTACTTCAATCTTCTTAATTACTGCAGGAAATACATAAAAAAGAGCTAGACCTGAATTTTAGGACAGAAGCTGGATTGTTCAGGATCGTGCAATATTGCTTAAATGCGAGCCTGTGAGATATTTTCCAGCTCATTCCTAGCTGTTACTAAGTGAGCTGCAGTGTGATACTATTCTTTCTTTCTAGTAGCATCTATGAGTCACTGTCAAGACTCAAGTCATGAGTAAATAAACATCACCTGATCCTGGCACTCCACAAAGCATGACCACTCTACCACCTTTAATCTTCACCCTTGTATTTTTCAGATTTACATCTGTGTTCATAATTATGCAGAATTGGATGTCCATAATACACCTGAATACATGCTCAATACTTACCTGTTGAATGTTTAATTGATAAATGCTTTAGGTATGAAGTTGTCCAATCTTTATGATTTTAATGGCAGTCATCTGTATACTTCTGAATCCTGGCCCCTTAATTCATTTTCAGCAGAGTTAAGAACAAGTTTTAAGTATTTGAAAGGTTAACTGCTCTAAGTATCCTGTCTTAAATGCATTCCTAGAATGATGACACTGGAGTACAGGACCACAATAAAGTAATTTCTCCATACCAGATGTAATAATATGCAGCTTGGGTTAAGATTGTTTTGTGAACATCAGCCTTTTAGTTTAAGAAATACTATGCTCATGCTAATTATTGTCTTGAACTTGCTAATGTGCTCCAGCTATGAACTAAAAAGTATTTGTATTTGTAACCAGCAATGCACTAAAAGTGTAAGTGGTCACGTTCTTGTGAAAAAATCTGACAGTGACTGCTGTTTGGGCAGAGATTACTTCAAATACCCAAGGTCATTGGGTATCTTACCTGGAGAATATGTTTAAAAGTGCAGTTTGTTGTACACAATCTTCATTTTTATTACTGTTGCATAAAGTTGAAGCTTTCATTGGGAAAAAATATACACTTTTGTTTACAATAAATCACAGGCCTCTTTTTTTTCAATAGCAGTATTTACACCAACTACCAGTATCTTAGAGCAAAACATTCCTACATGTAGCCTACTTTACCGGTGCTTAAACTGTGCAAACAGTTTTTCTCAGTCTAGTGGAAACCTACTGGCACACAGAAGTGCCTGTGAAGCAGACGAGGGAAAGGACCAGGGCAGGACTAGGCTGGTGAGGAACACTTCTCTTCCAGGTGCCTCAGCCTGCAGGCTGCAGAGAGAAACACAGATTGGGCTCTGGGAGGGAGCCACCCTTTAGGAGAAGATGAAAGCTGGTGCTTGGTGAGGTGGATGGAGATGGAGAGGGGAGGCAGGGGAAGAGTGAGAAAGTGCAGTCAGGCAACAGGGGAAGAGGAGGGAGTGTGAGGGTATAAAAGCCATGGGGTGCTCCTCAGAGGAACCATCTCCAGTTGTTCCTGCACCAGGAATAAACTACCTTGTGGAACCAGATGTTCTGGGCTCTGCTAAGGGAACCCTAGGGGTGAACTGGAAGGGAACATGGTCTGGTGAGTGTGTGGGGAGTCAAGGGGAAAGGCCCTGGTGTGTAAGTACCAGGGAGTCTCATTAATGTTTCCTTAACACTGCCTCTGTACCTACCCCCGTATATGCAACTTAAAGTGAATTCTCTTATCAAGTTAATAATGTGAAATACTCAGTTCAAGACAGTATCTGTTTCAGTAGCAGCCAAAGCTTGGAGGTGATAAGTGCCTGAAAGCCTGAGGTTACCTTTGGGCAGAGGCTTTAGAACCTATTGTGACTGCTCTTGGCTTTTTCCAAAGCTACATCCAGACTTCCCCCAAACATGAAGTATGCTGAAAGAATTGTGAAATACAGGTACAGCCTTTAAAAAAAAAAATTAAATTTTTCTCTAGTTAGAAGCAGCAAACTCTTATACTTAGTCCTTGATACTAACCATGCTAAAAATTAATCAAATTTACTTCCTCCTTCTTATAGAAGTAATTCTGATGCAGCAGCCTTGGTCTTTGAAGTCTGTGACCTCTCTTCTCTGTGAAAACTCAATTCACACAGGAATTTGAGAGGGGAGAAAAAACCCTTTCAGGTACAGAATACCTAATAAAAAAATAAAAAAGAACAAAAATATTCTCTCTTTTTATAAACTATATAAATAAGCTGGTCTTACGCAGTTGCTTCCTCAATAAATTTATTGCCACTTTTTCCAAAGCTTCACAGAAAACTGTGGAAGTTGTCTTAGCTCTCTGTTCTGCGCTCCTGGGCCCTGAGGAAGCTGGCCTTCTTCTGAGCAACACGGTCTTTCTTCTGGGCAAGAGACATCTTGGGACAATTCCATCTGCAATGGAAGCACAGTGTGCAGTAGATCCAAAGCAGAAAAGTAGCAGTGCGACATAACTGTGATTAAGAGTGCAGTGGAGAGTATTCCCACTTCTGTAACATGCTTTATTTCCTCATAATGATCTAAGGCTGTAGTTAAAACACCACAAAAAAGCATGGCTAGACACTTTTAATTTCTCTAGAGATAAACTCTGTATTCTCTGTGACTGAAGCACAGACATTATCAAGCCCAATGTAACAGCTGTGTCTTGATTTCTTTTCTCACACACCCTTAAAAATCAAAGCAGTTTGCTACTGACAAAATAGTCAACGAGCTCTCAGCTGAAGAGAAGCAGCTTTCCCACCGAAAACACTGGGACCTGAAGGTACACACTGTTCCAGATATTCAAGCCACAAACATTCTGCACTTTGATTTTTTAAATAGCTAAGAGCTCTTGAATTTTATATTCCTACTGCTAAATTTAACTCTGAAGTGATACAGAACTGCTTGTATCTTAATCTGGTCCAGAAGACATAACTAATGACAGAACTGCAAAACTGCATTACTTGTTCCACTGTAACTAAGGTATCTCCAACAGAGAGGTCACAGATGTCAAAAAGAATGAGAATTTTACCTCTTTTTCTTGACGTCTCTCTTGGGTTTCTTTTCATGGACTGGATTATCCCGTATAGCAGCATGGGCTTTTTTATACATTTCTTCCATCTTGGGGAAAAAAGAAAAAATTAAATTTACCATAGTGGTTCAATTGTAGGTTTATCAGAAATCCAAGATCCCTGTGCTTGCATTGTCCCCAGGCATGCAATAATGCTGCTCTATCCCAAGGCAGCTCTGGCTCCACAATGGCACAAATTTTAAGAATATCTTTGCTGGTGGTTAATTAAGACCACTAGATCTCAGCTGTGACTAACTTTTTAGATGTACAAAGAGCAATTGTCTATATAGTGACCTAAATTCTAGACTCGCTTCATTTGAATAAAAGCTACAACTAGTATTTGTTTAGAAAGCAGATGAAGCTGGCATTTGCATTACTTTCTTTTTATAATTTGTTAGAAAAAACTAGCAACTAGGTGAATTTATAAAAACCCCAAAATCCATGGAAATTAAAGGATAGAGCATGAAGTTTGCTATAGCCTAAAAAGGGGATATGAGGGAGCTGTGTTTTAAAGCTCCAAGCTCACTTACTAGGACAACCAAGCAAGAATATTACAGGCAGCAGGACAAGCCATCTGGAAGGAGTTTAATACTTGGAAAAACTAGAAGAACCACCTCTGTATTCTTACTTATCTTCTAGCATTTTACTAATTCTAAAATGTGAAGCAGTACTAAAATAAAGTGTATTACAGTCTAGACTTTCATGAATGCTACCTTGGGCTCTCTGAATACATCACCTGGAATAGCAGAACTCCTTCTAGGGTCACACAAGCAGTACCACAGATTTGACCCACAACCACATGCTCACCCACTGTTATAAGCCCTACATCTGCAGAAATGACAGGCTGTGGGGCAGGATAAGGAAAGAGTAGAGAGTTTGTGCAGAAATTTCTAATTTAGTTTATTGGGAAGGGGGGAAAGTGGTCCAGCGCATATTTAGGTCCTGTAAGTCTGACTTATAGGCAGAATATAAAGTTTCACAGCAGGCAAAAAGGTCCCAATTTCAGAAGTTCTACACTAATATTAGAGCCCTTAAATGAAGGAAAAAAAATTTTTCTTTGCATGGGTAACATACAACATGAGTCACATAATTTTACATATCAGACTTATTTGCATGATTAGAGAAGTCCCTATCAGCAATCTCTATCTAAATTCCTGAGCTCCAGCTGGATGAATCTTACCCCATCAGGTGTTACATTGTTCTTTATGTACTGGGAGAACTGTTTCTTGTAGGCATCTTCATCCTCCTCCATCAGGTACCGCATGTAATCGGCCACGTTCTGGCCCATGATGTGCTTGCGGTGAACCTCAGCATTGAACTCTTTGCTCTCCGAGTCGTAGCCAGGGAAACGTTTGGTGCTGTCAAACAGCAGGTACAGTCACATTAAGGCTCTAATGCAGAGGCTAAGGTACACACTGAAATGACTCCTACAGAAAACTGAGAGATAGGACCCTCTCATAAAAAAAAAACCTAGAAGTTTTAAGCTCATCTCAGCTGCCATCAGTCCCGTCTTGAAACACTGCAGTACATCATTCACACGCCATGGACCAACTACAGCGCGTTCAGTCACTGCAAGTA